GCATTGTGGAGTGCTGCACAGGCTACTACAGTTGGGGAATTTAAGAGGAGGATGATGGAAATGAAAAATCTCAGTCAAGATGCATGGGCATGGTTTCATGATAAAGCACCAAGTGAGTGGTCAAAATCACACTTCTCAGGTGTCCCAAAATGTGATATGGTTCTTAACAATGTCTGTGAGTCTTTCAATTCAAACATCCTTGAGGCAAGAGACAAGCCCATCATCACTTTGCTGGAATGGATTAGAGAGTATCTGATGGTAAGACTCCAAAAGAATAGGGACAGAGCAGCTAAAAAATGGCATGGAAAATTGTGTCCTATGATTCAAAAGATCTTGGACAAACATGTTGAGAAGATGGCTGAGTGCATTCCTATTAAGGCAGATGATAACAATTATCAAATTTCTTGCCCTGCTGGAGAACAATATGTTGTGGTTCTTGACAAAAGAACATGTACATGTAGGGCATGGGAGTTGAGTGGTATACCTTGCTCACATGCTCTTAGAGCCATTATCAACCAAAAAGAAGACCCAATTGATTTTGTGAGCCCTTACTACTCAGTAGAGTCCTACAGAATGGCATATGAGAATGCAATCATGCCAATGAGTGGTCAATTTGTATGGGGGCAGACTTCTTATGTTCCTCCCTTACCCCCCATGCCTGGTAAGAAAAAAGGCAGAGGCAGACCCACTTCTTTGAGAAGAAGAGAACCTGATGAACCGAGGGGTAAAAGGAAGAGGTCAACTTGTCCATACAAGCTTAAGAAACGTGTTTGATCCTAAGTGGAAGTTTCAAACGCTTCGGATGCTGACATGGCAAAAATCTATGCTTCAGAATGTTGTTTGTACATTATTTTGTTTTTGCTTCGGAATCAGGCTTGGTAATGATATAAATAATTTTTTTCAAACTTGGTAAGTGTGTATTTAATTTTGTTATTTACAAATTTCCTTCTTAATTTGTACAAGTAGCAACCTTATCATCTTATACTTTTCTCACATATTTCTCTCCTAAATTACGATTTACAAATCAATTTCTGCACTGTCTATTCCTCTTTTTTTTTCAATTAAATAATCCATCAAAGTTTTTAAATAAAATTTTATTGAGCAATAACTTTTATAATATATTTTTTAACTCAACATACGTGCACTACACAGGAATTATACTAGTAACTAGGTTATATATAAATATAATTAGTAGATGATTTTATTTTATTTAATTTATTTTTAAGTGGTCCAATTAATCAAGATTGATCTGATTTGTTTGCAGATGTTGTACCTTACTCAGCACATATCCCTTCCTATGCAGACACTTGGGGATGGGTCATGGTATCCATCACCTCTCTATAATTTTGCTTACATAATTAATTTGATTTAACTTTTATATATATATATATATTAATATTATATACTCTACCAATACATTGATAAAGATTTTTGTTGATCATGAAAATGTCAAATGTATTTTTTGTATTAATAGCCTTAATATCTATTATGTGTCACAATTCTATGTAATAATGTAATAATCAGCAAAATATTGGCACAGGCATCAGATACTCCATTGACACTGAGTGCTGATGAATTTGACCTGAGAATAAAGCAGAGGATTGAAGGGGAGAACAGATACATTGATGGCAAAACATTCTCATCTGCATCGACTTTGAGCAAAGCTGTCCGAAAATCGTGAGCCCCTTCTCATTTAATTTCTTTTCAATAAAACGTAACTTGAAGTTCGCAAAATATCGTAATTTGCAACTTCTAGTGCGTCCGGACCACATATGTGTGTGGTTTTTCGGACGATATTGTGGTTATGAAGTATCCGAAGTTGCGAATTATAAATATTCGTGACTTTTGGATTGCATTAATTTAGTAAACACAAATATATTTTTAAGTTGCAAAAGCGAAAAAACGCGCGTGGTACAAGTTACGATTTTTTTATTTCCCTTTTTTTTTTTTACAAAGCAAAGATAAAAGTAAGTTTGAGTTATGATTTAACATCTAACATGATGTTGTTTTGTTCCCACAATGGTGGCAGATTAGAGAATGAGACTCATGTTTATACAGAAGGGAATGCAAGGTACATTTATGGACATGGTGCTGCTTACAAACAGCATTGAAAAATTGGTTGGGGATGAGTTATTATTACGATGTTGTCGAGTTCTTGCTCTTGTGATGGTCCTTCTGCTACTACTCATTATTACAAAGAAAAAAAAAAAATGAAGATTAAGAAAGAAGATATGTTATATCTTTCTACTTCTTGTTGTTGCTCATCATGTAGTTCATGAGAAATTATGTAACTTAATGGATTTTTGTTTTGTTGTTCTTTGTCCCCATTGAATTGAGAGGCAATTTATAAATTAGACAATCTATTTACACCTAGAAACTATTATATATAAATATATAGTACATATTTTTGGGCATCATATTCTCAAATATATGAAACTAGAAGAGCTTCTGTTAAACACATCCAAACATCAGTTATTTGTTTTCAATGATGTAAGAGCTACTACCACTGATTCAAACTATTAGAATATAATACCACCTGTAAAATTGTTCGAGTCAAACTATTAGAATATAATACCACTTGTGAAATTGTTCGAGTACAAGATACTGACAAAGACTAATCCGAAAATAAAACTGAGAAGCCATCTATAACAGATGACTTAGAGCCTCTAACCAACAACTCACTAAGCCATAGCAACTAACAAAGAAGGAAAGCAAAGTACATATGGAAACAACTCACTAAGCCATAGCAGGTCCATTTTCAACACCTTTTGTTGTACTAGGTGCTTGTATGTGCTGGAGACTGAGAATTGGCCCTTTTTATCCAAGCCCCAATAGTATCTATCTTGATGTTCATAATAGCTGCACTATCCTCAAAACAATTTATATTACTTAATAAATATGAATTTTTTAAAAACATTATCTTTTACTTTTTTTTTTTTATTATTTCTATTTCCTTGCAGTAATTTGTTTTTAAGACTTTTATTTTTATTTTACATAATGTGATATCATTGTTTAATCTAAATCTATTGATTAAACATTCCAAATTATTTCAATCGAATATTTTATTTCTACTTAAATAATCTATTTTATTTTACTGTTAGTGGTATGATATTAATAATTTGATATTAAAAATTTTTTACATATAAATTCAATTATTTATTTCTACCTAATCTAAAATTTACATTTTATTTGTAAAATATAAATAAATGGATATAGCTATAGATTAATCGCTCAAATGATAATTATTATATGTTATATATATATATATATAATATTAAAATATTTTCTAAATCACCTAAATTAGGAAATTTTCTAGCTTCACATTTTATTTTATTTTTCTTAAATTTAGTTTTCATATCGATGTCTTTTTTCCCTTGTTTCTTAAGTATTAATTCCATCTCTTTTTTTAAAAACTGGATAGTATTTTTATTTGTTATCTTTATTTTCTATATAATATTAAAGTAACCTTTATTTCATGATTTTCAATTTGATACTGGTATTCTATGTACATATAATAAATAATTATTTATAGTATTAGTAAATTTATTAGTTAATATTACATACATGAAATTAACTTAAATTTATTATTTTATAATGATTTAGAAATACAGAATAGCCTCAAGTTAATCATAAAATAAATGATATTATAAAATTATCAAAAATATAATTAGTCCTCATGAATTTAAAAAATTAATCACTATAAATAAATAAAATATAAATAAAAGTTATTTCTATGATTAAGTATATACAATATTAAAATGAGTAAAAGTCATGGCCCACCGGGGTCCGACCCCCCAAGTGGGGAAGACTGGTGGTTACGACCATAAATACTGGCTTATAGAAAAATTGAAATATTTAAAATATACATTGTTATAAATTATAATTATAATCAACCGGTGTCAAACAAATAGCATTCCTCTCGTTCCCAAAAAAAGGGGAAAAATTCAAAAGTAGTCCCACAGGTTTGGGGGGGTGACACTTTTGGTCCCAA